TGCAGATGAAACCAAACCAATTCCGCTTAAGCCCCTAAAAATAAGAACTGGCAAAGGACAATTTTCATATACAAGAGACTTCTACAAAACCCATAAAACAGCTACATCTGAACATTTATTAGCACAGTCCACTACATAAGTTATTGCTGAAATAATTTCTAATAGAAAACAAATGTTGGGTGGTATTTTTTCCCTGTCCAGCCTCGCTGTCCCTGTCACCCCAAAAAGCTAACCAATGGAACACAATACTTTTTCCTCTGAAGGACTTAGTGTCCACATACTACATCAGGGGGTCTTAACCTGGAGTCCACAGATTCTTTACAGGGGTTTGTAGATAGATTTCAGGGGATCTGTAAACTTGGATGGGGAAAAAAAATTACATCTTACTTTGACATCTAACCTCTAAATGAAATTTATCATTTCCTTCAATTTTTACATTTTTAAAAAAACTATTCTGAGAAGGGATTCAAAGGCTTCACCAGACTATAAAAGGGGTCCAAGACACCAAAAAAAAGCCTTCTCTCTACAACCTCCTCAGCTCATCCACACACATACATAATATAGTCAACATTCTTGTGATAAGAATAAGTATTATCCCGTTTTTTGCAAATAAAAATAGAACTGCCAAGAGAAAAGCTCAGTGTCACAGGAAGGTCACATGGTGAGCAGACCTTCAGACTAAGGTCCTATCTGCTCATGTCTCTCATGATGCTAAATTTTAGTTGAGCCAGCTCGGCTGGGTTTCGACACTACTCATGAAACCAAGGTCATGGATCGAGTCCCCTGCAGGGCCAATGAGCTCAGCCTTATTCCATAATACCCCAACTCAGTCCTGTCCTCACCAATGCCTGCTCAATATTGACTCAAAAGCGGAACACAGCAAACCACAGGAAAAGAGGCAGTATGTGTATACGCAGCCAGCAAGAGCACTCATTCTACCTGGCACTAGGAGATCAGGGTTCATCTCCCAGCTGTACCACTTACTAACTTGGTGACCTTGAGTGAGTACCTTATCCTCTGCAGGCCTCAATTTTAACCTCTGAAACAAGAGGGTTGACTTAAGGCATCTAAAGTTGCCTCCCTGTGACTCTGATGTATATTCTATCACCACTGCTGGAAAAAGGACTTAAAAAGCCTTCATCAAACTGATAGGAGTAGGTCAACAGCCTCTGCGTCATTAAAAGATAGAATTCTGTCATCTTTCACATGGCTTTTTGCCCAAGTGTGCCACTGAGACCTTTTGAATAAAGATACACAAAAGCCCAAAAATACAGAAGGAGCCACTCAGTCCTAACAGTTTGTCACATGAATTCACTGCACACATACCAAGGATAACCGACATATCTTTAGAGCACTTTCAAGTTTACAAAGCACCTGGCAAATCATTGACCATTTGAGCCTTAATACACCCATCAGGTGGTAAGAATTATCCCCATTTTACAGATGAAGAAACCAAAGTTCACATACCTCTACTTAGTACCAGCTGTGAGAAACAGTAGTTTCCATTTTAGCTCATGTGAGCTTTTCCTTATGCATATAACAGAATTACGGTATGACATATTCTTTTTTTATATCAAAAGATTCAGAACGCAAAACAGAACTCAAGACTTCACAAATTTATTGTAATCAATTTAAAAACTAATAAATAAAGAGGGGAGAAAATGTTGACACAACATTAACACAGAACATACAACAAACCAAGCCTCTATAAGTAGGCAAACCACAACTGGACCAGTCTTGATTTGGATGACAGTTCCATTTAAAAACTGCCAGAGACTTGGTGGCATGATGACACTGGAGAATACAAAATCCAACAAACCCACTGAAAGGGGTAGGGGGTGGGGAGAAGCAACAGAGGAAGAGAAGCAGTCTCTCACACAGGAAACAAGCCTTAAGAACATTAAAGCCTGCTCTGTGGAAAGTTTCCCCATCACCACATTTTTCAGTAACAAAGATGTTGTCAGAAATGACAATTTTTTGTGTCCCCTGATGATGCCTTGCTAGCATTTGGTTATAAGCCATAAAGCGGGAATAATTTCAGCCTGTCAGGAGTCTAGCTAATGCCCAGTTTCCCCCTAGAGAGAATTCCTGTCAAACGTAATGAGAGCTCCAAAGGCCTCTCTACAACATAATGAGCACTTAGGCCACGCTGGTGATCAGGCAGCAAAAAAAGCATCAATTTGAGCCTGGCTACACCCTAGGGGCCAGACGTCACCAGTTTTAATAAGAATTATGATTACTAGCTACCCAATGCCTCCTCAGAACTTATTATTAATGGGTGACAGTCAGAAGGATTTTTTTTTAAATGTAAGGCCACTTTAACTCTGAATCATAGCGCAACCCAATCCTGTACACCACTGTAGTTGAGGGTCTGTCATTATCTACAATACAAACTGAATTTAAAAGGATTTAAGACTTTGCTATTTAAAAAATATAAAGCACATCAGCCTTTCACATTTTCCAAATTACTAAACTAGCGACACAAAATACACCATATAATATATACCCATATGTAGACACAAGACATTCACACATGTTCTCACACATAATTGCCCATGAAATACATGCACAGGAACATAGCTCTACTCCCCAACACATTTCTTATTCCTGCCACACACATACTTCTGACACTTTTATCTCCTTTCTCTTTTAAGGAAAAAGGAAAGGTCATGCAACTACGCATGGCTGACAAAAATAATAATACTACATATTCTTTAAATTCTTCAATAAATCTAGCATTAGCACAGTGATCTTATGTTTTTGGAAAACAGGAGCTCCAGCAGTCCTATGAGCTACTAATTCCTCTGATTTTACGAGCTGAAAGTAAAACTCAACCGTTTATAATCCATTCTGTTCAGTATACAAATTTTGCTTTTTAATTCCATTAAAAAATTAAATTGGCAAGTAGTTAGAACTCTGTGGCAAAAGTTTGTGAATTCCCATATGCTACCAAAAAATGACCCCCAAAACTTAACCAGGACTCCTCCTGACCTGTACAATCACCAAGTTTACAATCCTTCTTGATAAGGGAGTAGTTATTTATAATAAAAAGCCCAAACAACCCTGAAGATGTTAAAAACAAAGTTTGCTTTGAAAAAAGCTGTAATGAAAATTACTTAAAAAAAAATCACAGTCTAAGAAAATTAGAATATCTCCTCCCAAACATAGCTGAAAACAGGATTTCCAAAACAACACCTCAGCATTATCAAAATCTGCAACGAATTAAAAAGAATCAAAGAACTCAAGATTTACAAAAGCAGAATTCAACTCTGAAACACACTTGCTTAATGAAAGTCTTTGAATATAGTGAAGATCTGAAGCCTGAACTAATCAATTTCTCCACTATGCCCTAGCCGGTCAGCCATGCTCTTTAATTTAATGAAACAAGAGTTTTAGATGAAATAGCACATATACATCAAGCAAGAATTGTATTGTTGCACTTTGAAATGTGTCCAACTGTGCAACTTCATCTAATGATAATTTTTTTTAAGAGGCAATCGATTTCTGAAAGACTTATTGTACCAGCCTCCTGATGAAAAAGTGAACGTCAGCATATCTACGGAATACTTACACCCTGCCATTAATGCTTTCTTTGGCAGACAATGACTACTCAATTGAGGGTCCTTTGGGCTGAGCAATCATTTAGCTTTTCTTCTCTTATGAGGTCCTTAGTGCCTTGTTCCAGTTCAATACTCTTTTTATTCACCATTATAGTAGCCATAAGTGTGAATTTTATGGGAACTTGCAAACTCACAGTCATAACCAGAGCTTTCCCAGTCACTAATCTTTCCAGGCTTTTAAAACCACTAGGAACTCAGCTACTATCAACATATGCTACACTCATAAAAGAATTTTTTTTCCCTCCCAGATTCAAGACTCCCTCTACTAGATTATTTTGAAAGCTATGTTTACCTACAAGCCACTGAACTGGTATCTTTATGCAGCACCACAAAACTACAAAAGAAAACCAGTGTTTGCTGCATAGTTCTTATACCTTTTCCACATTAAAGAAGCTCTTTTACACAATTTCAGGGTACAACCATATCTATATGTTGTAGTGGGAAAAACCACTGAATTTGGAGTCAAAAAGTACATAACTTCAAAGCCTAGATCTGCTGTTTGCTACCTGTGTGACCCTGGTCAAGTCATTTCCCTTCCCCATGGCCCTTCATTTTCTCACCTAAAAAAGGAGTATAATTAATTATCTTTAAGGCTCCTTCTGACTCTAGACACTATAATATTACTATATGAATTGACATCTGTATAGTACTTTTAGGTTTGCAAAGACCTTTAAATAATATAAAATAATCCTGATAACAATCCTGGGAGGCAAGGACTACAGCTATTATTCCTTATTTACAGATGAGCAAACTGAAACAGAGATTAAGTGACTTGCACTCACACCTATCGAGTAGGTTATCTGAGGCCAAATATGAACCCATGTCCTGCCTTACACTTAAGTATACCTTTCTATCCACTCTGCCACCTTGACTTATTTCTCAACAACATGTATATGATTTCAGGTCTATATACCTATAACATTCAAATGGTTAAGCATAAACCTATCCATGCATTAAAGTAGAGTCAATTTTTATCTTCCTGTAAACAGAAGATCTTTTATTTCCATTATCTCTTTTATCTAGTGATTTAAATTTTTCTGCAAACATATTGAGCTGTAGAACTTCTGCCAAGTAATTATCAGGACCGAGTGTGGTACAGAGGAAAGAATGCTGGATGTAAAGATTGTCTTAGAAGCGGATTCAAATCTGAACTTTGGGCAAACCACTTCTGGGTCTCAGTTTCCTTTATCTCTAAAATGAGGCTGTCCAACTGGATGATTTCTAAAAGGCTATTCTAGCTCTAAGCTTGTGATTCTATGATAAACTGGGCAACTGAGACCTAAAAATGACTTCAATTCACCTATTACCAAAAGCAATGCCAAGATGAGAGCCATAAATTGATTCTTGGTCTCAATTTGGAATTTACTTGAAAAATCTTACCTGTTTATGCATTTCAATGTTTAATCCATATGACATTTCATAATACTGTGAAGAAAAAAAGAGGATTAAAAGTTTCATTAACTCATGTTGAGTAATACTAAGAAAATATATGTTATGGTATGTGAAAAGAAAAAAATAAATCTTTAATACCTACCATCACATAATGCCTCTGCATTTCTGTCTTTTCACTTGCCAATTTCTCACATTCCAATTTAAGGCTACAAAAACAAAACAGGCAACTTCATGTAAACATTATGTCACTTGTTTTAACATCTGCCTCACATATTTGCACTTCAAGTAAAAACACAGACCAATTTAGAAAAACTATAAACTATCAAAGTAAACACCCAAAAGCTTTGTCCTCGTATTTAATGGAGACTACAAGTAAAATGAATTCTATGTATAGTTCATTCCATTATGATTCATTTTTAGAGCACACACAATCCCAGGTAGAGAGCAGAAAAATAAGTCAGCCTCTCAGACTAACAAGCAGCTTTATCCTCTGTTAACTCTTGGTCAGTTAAGTTTAAATTTAGGTTCATGGTGTGAGATAACTGGCCTCTGAACACAAACTTGAGCTTCAAACATATATAGATAGATAGATAGATAGACAGATTTTAGATAGAGTGTTTTGACCAGGGGATTCAAACATCCCTCTAAGTTTTTAAAATTGTATTTGAAAAATTACCTCCATAACTGTTCATTAGTTTCACTTTTGTCCTTAAAACACATTAAAACATCTGTCAGGTAGCCAATGGAATGATTAAAGTTTTGGAACTCTGTGATTAGATAAGTACATGCCCTAAACAGAATACTGGGCATTCCTGGAAGAAAAAAATAGATTCATTGATATTCTCTATTAAAATGGTCATTTATAATTTGCCTTCTACATTCTGCTGAACTTAACTTAAACTGTGACGGAATTTATCTTTGAAGTATAAAAGCCAATTTCTTAGTGTGAAATTGGCTTTTAAGCTGTTAACAACTAACAAGCCACAATATCAATGTTTCTTTCACTGTTTAAAATTCCCACTGATTTGGACAGTGAGTCGATACTTGTACTCAAGTGCTATGATGAACTTTATATGCAGAAGCTTCAGTTCAAAGGAGCTCTGAGGATGAGAACTTGAGAATTCTATTTATTTTTTAGATCTCCAACAACTATAAACGTTTAAAAGGAGTAAGCTTTCCACAATGAACTTTGCTTTGTACAACTCTATCTCCCAACACAGCCAAATAGTTATTTCAACACTACATTTGGGTCCCCTGCATTCCACGACTAATACATTGATTGAGCCAGTGTTTTCTGCTCAGCCTGTTGCAAAATAAATAAACGAAAGGCAAATATTGACGGTTCTCATGCAACTCCAAAACGAAAAAGAGTTCATTCGAACAGCAGCAAACAGGGGGCCAAAACAATAGAAGTTGGGGATGAAGAAAAAAGAGAGAACTGAGAAAACCCAAGAAAGGGAAAAAAAGGAGGAAAAGTGAATGACAGGTTTTAACTGTGATTCCACACGCCACCGCCTGGACACAAGTACTAAATACAGCTGCCACCCCAGGGATAAGACAGTAAAGAGAAAGAGAAAACCACATAGGCCCCCAACCCCCACCAAGTCAAATATGTTCCACGCTGACATCCAACCCCCAGGCCAGAGACAGACCGGGTCGGCTCAGGACTTAATGCACCCGCTGCGCCTGCTGCACGCACCTGTGATACTGGGCCTGCAGGAACTGGAACTCCTCTTTGATCCGATCCAGGGACTCCGGGATGGTGAATTTAAAGGGCTGACCTGCAGCCTGGTGCGGCGTCTGGGGGGAGTGTGGGATGGGTGTGCATACAAGTACAGGAATGGAGGGGGGGGGAGAGGAGAGAGAGGGAGGTAAGGAGAGATAGACAGCGTGAGCGAGCAAGGTGAGACAACAAACCAAACCAACACAACCAAAACAAAAGTTGCCGGCTATCGCAGGTACAAAAAGAAACTAATTTTTTTCAGTTTACTTTGGGGGAGGCAGATGGTAGCGCTTTCTCCCTGCCCCCACCCCGTTTGCTGAAACTCCCGGTCAGTAGAAGCTAGGTCGAAAATCTACCCCCGCCCCTCCCCATCCCACTCCTGGGGACGCAGATGGGAGATACTTAAGTAATTCTGGCAGAAGTAGCACCCTTCTCCTAAAGGGCCTGGGAAGGTGGTAGAAAAGATGGGTGCCCGCCCCTCCTATAGGCAATAAAGATAATAGCCCTAGGGAGAGGAGCGGAGTAACAAACACCCCGGCCCCATACTCCCAGTTCCCAGAGTCACTCAAGAGGACTCGGGCCAGCCCTGGCCCCACTGGATCCAGGGCTGCAGTTGACATGTAAATAGACAGTGAACAAAGGGGGAACAGAGTGGGGGCCAGCTACTGGGGGGGGGGGGGAAGAGAGAGAACTAAACACCTCCCTCTCATATAGGGGGTAGGAAAAGAAGGGATGTGATGAGGAGAAGAAATCTAAGAAGCTTCTCTGTCCCCGTCCCCCACCCCACTGGCCTATGTGCCGCCTTTAGAGGTGCTAAGAAAGGAATTAAAAGTGGGGTTGGGAGGGGGGGAAGGTGGCCAGGAGTAAAAGGTGCTAAAGGTCTGAAAGCGATTTTTGCCTCCACCCAATTAGTCAAATAAGTTAAAAAAAAAAAACCCACAAAGCATCTTCCACTCCTCTTCCCCCCCCCACCCCCGCACCCAAAGCGGTAAATAGGGCCGGAAACTCTGAGAACCCAACCTAAGCAGCCCCGATCCCCTCAGGGGGAAAGTGGAGCAAAGGCAGGGCAGATGTAATAGACACCCCAGCACAGCACGAGAACAGCGCCTCCCCCAGCCTCAAAACCGTCCCCTACTTTCCCCCCCCCACATGCCCCCCCCAGCACACGCCCAGGGCCCCGGGGCCCCGCCGCTCCTTACCGGGTGCCGGCTTTGCGGGAACATCGCTCTGACGGCAGCCGCTGCCTTGCTCCTGGGCAGCTCAATTCTCCGCTCAATTTCCAACTTTAATCCCGCCGAGAAAAATTAAGACAAGAAGAAAGAAAGAAGATCCAAGCAAGAGGAGGAGGTGGGAGGGTGCGCGTTAGACATGCACACACAAGCGCGCGCGCACAGACACTGACATTACACGCACATACAAACACGCACGCACAACAGCCAGGCAGGACCAGAGCCGGAGTTGGGCCACTAGGGCTCCCCAAGGCCGGGCCGCCGGGTGGGTCGCTGCCTCCCCGAGCTCAGGGCCACATTTCCCTCTCTTCCTGCTCACCGCCCCCACCTCCCACTGGGGCCAACGTCTGCCGCCCGGCCTCGGGGAGTGGGGGAGGGAAGGAGAGTTTCTGGGCTTCGGAAAGAAGAGGACGGAACCGAGGTGGACAATGGAATCACCCAGTTCCGTCGGTGAGGTGGGAGACAGGGTGGGCGCACAGGTCTTCGTCCCCGACGGCCAAAGCCGGGACCAAGGTTAACTCCCCCACCAGCAACCACTCCCCTCTGATGCGCGAGCTGCGCAGGTCCAGGGCAAATCAATCCAGTCTTTCTCCCACCCCTCCCGCCCTTGCTCCGTGGGGGGCACCTTGCAGGTGGCAAAAGAACGCTGCCCCACCCCCTAACAAAAACAAACTAACAATCAGGGGACCGGAAACCCCCGAACAAGCCGGGTTACTTCTCGGGTTAAAGACGATATCCAGGAAAAGCAGCCAGGAGGCGAATTTGGAAGGAATTGTCAACCCACGCCGTCCAGACAGGGGTTGGTGGGTGCAAAGGGGAACACAGGATCACTCACATATAAACGTACACATCCGTACTCGGGCCGGCTAGGCTCAAAGACGCTCCCGGGAGGAGGTGGGGACACACACTCACACACACACAGAGCCCGGGGTGGAGGCTCAGAGCCAAGTGATCACCAGCAACCACAGAGACAAGGGTAATGATGCAAGGAAAGTGCAGAGAGAGAGAGAGCGCAAGAGAGGAGGGGGTGGCCACGCAGCATATGCACTCAAGCAGTCTTGGAGTGAAGATTGAAAAAAAAAATCCCAACTAAAATAAGCCGAAGCGAGGGACGAGGTGGTTGGTGGTAGTAGAAGGAGGCAATAGTCTTCTTGTGTCGTTGCAGAAAAATCCTAGTAGCAGAAAAAGCAAACCAGCTGGGGCAATTCTCAGTTACTCAGAAGGGTGCAGCCCACCCGGGTGCAGCAGCCTCCCAGCTGCCGCCGCCGCCGCCTCCGCCTCCTCGCGCCTGGAGCACATCGGGGAGCGACTCTCACACACACCCATGCAGCAGCCGCCGCCGCAGCCCCAGCATCTCCTCACATTCATAGACACCCGCACGGCCCCGCAGCCCTGATGTCTTCTGCTGCTGCTAATCCTTTTTGTGCTTTTATTTTTCCTTTTCCACCCTTGCGCCCCCCGCCCTTTTTATGTTTTCCTTTTAACAATCGACGCTCCAGCCACAAGTAAAGTTCCTCGGGAATCCCGGGGAAAACATCCATAAACCGAGGTACGATTGGGAAGAATCCACGGAGCAAGCCCGTTCGCTCGCTCGCTGGTGATCTTCTTTGCCTTCCACCCCCCCCAACCCCTGCAAGCAGACAAACTCCACTGGGCTATCTATCGAGAGTCATAGGGTGATCAGGGGGCCGGGGAGAGATGAATTGGAATGCTCAGCCGGGAAGGGTCTCGACGGCCCTTGAAGCTGCTGCCACTGCTCGCTAAATCAATAGCACCGAGCGGGTGGCAATCAGCCGCCTCTCTAGAAGCGGGACACAATGTATCCGGCGCTGCTGCTCCAGCTCCGGCTCTTGCTCTTCTTGCTCCTGCTCCTGCTCAAACCTGCGCCGCCACCGCCGCCGCCTGCGCCTCTCGCGCTGGTAACATTAACACGCGGTTTCACACTCCTCTAGCTAACCAGCGGCCGGCCCCGCCCACCCCGGCGCGGGCGGGGAGAGGGGAAGGGGGGCGAAGAGTTGAGGATGGAGTCCGTGTGGATGAGGGTGGGAGGAGAAGGAGGAGGAGGGGAATCCCGGCCCAACCAATCGTCCGTTCCAAGACCCAACGTGGGCTCCTGACGACACGCCTCCCATCGTCCTATGGCAGGGCAGTACCAGCCTCGTCCTTTTTCCCCCCCCACCCCCACTTCACCATTCTCCCTCTTCTTCTCTCTTCTATCAGCACTGTCTCCCCTGTCTCTCCTCCCGCCCCCCTCCGCCCAGCCTCGTCCTCCCCGGCTCCGTGAGGAAGCGTTCCTGGAGGAGCTGCGGGACGCCCAGGCCAGCCAATAGGAAGCGGGGGAATACTGAGATTGGCACGGATGATGGGAAGGTCGGTGGGAAGGAGAGCGGCAGTACTGAGCTGTCAATCAAAGTAACGTGGGGGAGAGTGAGCGCGCGGGCGCGCTCTGGAGAGAAAAGGGAGAAGGGGAGAGGGGGCGAGGAGCAGTGTCAGTAGGAGTGTGTGGTTTTAAAATTCTATCGTTTTCTTTTTTTAAAAAAAAAAACCTTCAGATATCTGTGAGGGTAACCCAGTGAGGCAAACCATCTCGTTGTGATTGGGAATTAAGGGGAATTAAAGGAGAACACATTTTTTTCCCCTCATGGAAGCCACTCGTTTGATATCATTACTTTGAAAGCGAGGTCACATTCAAAAATGTCTTTAAGGTTTGTTTTTATCAATAGTTACCTTTTCACGGACACAAAAGGGTAGCACATGCACTTGATGAAAAGGCATAGTGGAGAAGACGTGGCTGTACGCCTAGGCATTTTTACATATGACTCCCACGTTGAAATTACGTAGCATTTTTTTTTTTTAGGATCTCAAAGCACTTTTTAAAATCCACAGTGGTTTTATTTAGCAGAAAGCTAGAAAAAAGACTTGTGACACAAATTACACGTGTCCGAAGAAAAGTCATGTTACTTGCTTAGGATGAACTCACACCCACTTTGAGAATTTTAACCAGCCTATGTTGTGAATCAACCTCAAACCTTTAAAAAGCCCTACACCCCAATTACCACCATAATCTTTCCAAAAGCTGAAAAGAAAGGAAGAAATCTTGTAACTCGGCCTTGTGTGCTGACAAACCTGTTTTTCCCCCAGATAGTTTTGATGGTAAAAGAGCACTGAAATATTTCAGGTAATAACTGGAGAGTGTTGGGTAAGTGACCTAGCTGGAATTCATAGAAGATGGAATTTCAGCTCAAAGGTCTTTGTATAAATAGGATGCATTGGAATTTTTCAGTTCTACCAGTGCAAATGTATGCATACAAACCTGAAAATCTTTAATTTTGCAAAGAGTTTTCAGTTTTGTTTAAAGTATAGTTCAACAAAGTTCTTTCCACCTGCCCCATGTGTGAATGTTATCTTTGCCAAATGGTAACATACCCTTCCATTGGAAATGTACTTCTTTGACAAACGTGAATCTTATGTTGGAATTTAGTTAATGAGTCTTTTAGTATTAATGACTGCTTTATCCCAATTGTCTTCTTTAAAAACTCTTAAAGACTTAAGTCTTTTTTTTAAAGCATTTGCTATTTAAACAGATGCACTTTATTTAAAGATTCTTGCATTTACAAAGATCATTCTTCTTAAAATATTTAAAGGATCATTTTATGCAACATCTTTCACTATTGTAGTTTTAAAACATTTATAAGATTGATTTTTTTCATGATTGTATCAAGCCTCAAACTTCAATTATAAATGAAAAACAAACATTTTTAGGCTGTATATTTGAAGGCTATAGTAAATTCTTAAACATTCAGAATTTCATCTCTGCAGTCTACTAAATAAGTGGAATTTTCACTCATGAATAATCACAAACATTGCAATTTGTCTTGTTTACATGGAAAATAAAGTCCCTGGAAGCACTTCCTCTTTTTGTCAGATTATGTGATCACATAAATTCAGCCTTACCCCTCCCCCCCTTTTTAGAAATACATTTCAAATGCAACTATACGTATATGGACATATATGCATATACATATACATCTGTGTGTATTATGGATACAAGTTTACATGAGGGCAACATCTGGTCACTGTATCAAAGATTCATTTTGGTTTGGTGGGCAATGTTCACATTATGTCCCGTTATTTTTATCTAGAACAATTTTTCTTCTGTACTCATAGGATTTTGTTCAGTTTTATGCAGAAGGTGTGAACATATCACAGATATACATGCATATAGGAGGATAAGTGGTGAGGGAGACAGCAACACACCTGCTTACCCAGCTTTGGCTGGTGTGAATTTTAACCTGCTGGCACAAGCTGGTAATTAGATATAAACAGACAAATTAAAACAGTGTATTTTGGAACAGGAACAGAAACAGTGCTACTTCCCTTCTATTCTTCCTCCTCTCCTCTTCCATCCCTTCTCCTTACCCCCACCCCCCATAATAATGTTCTGTAATGTTTTATTAACTTAAAATGTTTTTAATCACTAAGTTTTCCTGGCTATATTGGGGAAAACTCCAGGTTTCTTTATTGACAACTACTTCCTGACCTATGGCTGTTGAGATACCAGGACTTTCAAAATTTCCTCTCTGTGTTATCTCTGGAAAATTATCTTTTACAATTGAAAGTCTCTAATTATGTGCCCTAATGATGGCTACTTTTCACCAGTTTCTTCTTTTCTCAGAGCAGCATCCCTGCAAGATGTGGAAGGCTCTGCCCCTTTTCAAGGTCATATTTTCTCCTTGATTGTCAGACTGTAATAATTATACTGCAAAACTCTCATCAAACTGCATTACAAATGATGGTGTTTAAACAATCAAGCAGCTTTAATCTTATGTTTTAAATAAATAATATATGTGCAGATTGCCTACAGTATTATTTAAAAGAAAATAGAGAGTGCCAACTTATCAAATCCATAATTTCTACTCTTCTATTTGAAGTCTGTTAAACATAATCTTCTTTAACCTTAACATTCATGTATGGATGATGTTTTTACTAGAAAAAATATTAAGTGCAGTTTCCATGTAAAACTGAGCTTCTGATGAACAGTACCTTTTTTTTTTCCAGCAAAGGAAACAAAGGATTGTGGTACTGTTCATTTTACCATAGATGCACATATTCATTTTTTTTCCATTCACGTATTGTTGATTATCAAATCTTCAACCTACCAATAACACAAGTATTTCCACTACATGTCCAAATGAATACTAGATGTTATAGATACTAGATAGTATTGTTTCCTTAATAGGAGAAAATCTTTTCCTGTGATTTATTCCACTGTTCTGCATTGCAGAGCAATGAAAAAAAAAGTTAATTGAGGCAGCTAATCATAGAATCCAAAAAATTATGTACCTTCTTAAAATCATTACCTCTTTTTTTATGAAACAAATAATAATGGGGTCAAGCTTTTTTAAAAAGCCATTTTCATTATCCTCTCTACTTTCTAGTTAATAGTTACTGCTTTCATTATTCATCATTTAATTTTTTTAGCTAGGAATTTTTCTTTGAGCCTAACCCTGTCAGAAGGGCTCCAGAAGGACTTTTCTCAGCATTACTTTATATAACCTTTTGCTCAACATGCTCCTTTACTAAAAGAGACAGAGAAGAGGAAAAAGAAAGACTGCAAAGTAGAAAAAAATCAGTAGCAGATCCATGCAGCAGTAAAACCTCAAATAAAATCAGATCCAAAGAATCTCTTGTGGTTTCGCACAATATGGTAAAATTAGAGATTGCAGGAAACCAACAAAATTAAATTGGGAGCATTTGAAGAAAAACGACTAGACTTTATGAAAATGACACTTTGACTGGTCAGTATGGTTTTTTATCAACAATTTCTTTTTTAAGGCATAGATCAAAGGAACCTGCACATGTTTTCATTTTATTTTAACTAGAAAATTACATCCAGATGTTTAATAGGCATTTGGTTGGTTTTTCAACATTGATTAGATATGTTGGTACTGTTTGCTTACAAGTGTAGCCGGATCATTAGCTAATGCAAAGAAATGTTTGCTGTGAGTTGCTAATTAGGTCTTTTGGAAACCCTCCATGCTGAGGAACAATTTGTACAGTGGCCAGAAGAACTTGTGGTACTTGAGAAGTTGCTTTCTCTTGGGGGGGGGGGGGTGTGAGTGTGTGTGTGTGTGTTTTGGGGGAAGAGGAGGGAGAAGCGAGTCCCCTCTCCCTAATCTCCTTTTGCCTACAGGGATTGCAGTTTGATCCCAATGGGTTGAAGTGCAAATAAATTAGGAAAAGAGACCACACACACACTCACATACAGAGAGATAAATGTACTGTTTCTGCCTGAAACTACCTCCATGCTCTTTAAAAAAAAAAAATAGCATCTGAAATGCTTAGCACTAACGGATGGAAAATTCTCAGTGTTAATGTTATCAAATACACAACATTTTAAAGCATACTTTAGAGGCAGATGGGGAAGCCTTTTATGATAAATGAGTGTGCTTGAATTCATTACTGTAGTACTTATAATTAAAAATATCTCCTTTGCAACTTCAGTACTTGTACTGGATACAAGAGACAAAGCTTAGGAGGAAGGAAGACTTATGGATGGGAAAAGGTGTGAGAGGAAAGAAAAGAAACTCAACAGAGAAGAATGAGCCTCTGAGGAAATGAAGTGTTTGTTTTCACAACTCACCTTTTTGTTTACAGTTTAAACGATGAATAAACTTGCCCTAGAGTATCCATTTACCCTTTAGTCAAAGACAGTATTTTAGGCTATTTGGCTCCTATTTGATAAGATTCTCAAGGTCCAGCCATCTTTTTTCAAAAGATGCTTGACCATGCCAACAACATAAAATAAAGACCACCACCCCCTCAAAATATCATCCTTTGGCCTTCTTTGAGAGGAATTTTTTATGTATTTTAAAACATAAATTGTAACAGAAGGAATATGTA